AAGATTAATTATATATTATATATATCTATATATATATAGATTTTTGACAGAGCTAGTATAATCGATATCGCTGGGTATATTTTTGTTCAAAAAATATTTTTTTCATTATATTCTTTTTGCTATAATATTTTTTTAATGTTATAAACGCACTAAGCTTGTATATAATGTTATTATATATCAAAATTATTCGACGCTAATTCATATGAATGATCCGGATGTCGTTATTACTTTGTGTGCTATAAATATATTCTTGAATGAGGAGCTACGCGCGCGTGATTGTATCATATGATTCGCATAATGAAAGTGTCAGTAGCGAACAGGAATAAGTTTATCGTTATTCATGATAGAACTGATTGCAGAAGAGGTTAGAAGTTCGAGACACTCGATACATAGCAGATTTAAAAATGTTATTTCCTTATCGGCAATTAATTGTTTTAACGTATGATTCACTTACAAGTCACAAACGGTATAGCCGGCTTCGTAAACGCTGAAACTTTGGCAGATCTTGAAGAATTTCAGGAGTGATACGAACGTGCATCCACTTGCTCGCACTGCCATGAAAAGATTACTTGAGATTCTCTTCTCGACTGCGTTAAGAAATATTGCCACAACACCAAAACGAAATATAACTTGGGAACTCGGTTTCTCGCGAGTGAAATAAGAACAAGCCAAGCGACATTGGGACTTGCATTGACTTTACAAACAATCGGTGTAATGCAATTGAGACAGCTATAATAGAAAATGATAAAAATTTTAATTTTATTTCAAAGCGTTTATTCTAAAAATATCAGATTTCACGCCCTCACGTTGGCCATGGATGCCATTATATCGTAACGAATATCTGTGACGTCACGAGCAAACGTCACATCGGACGATCTTTTTTACGTATGTATAAGTCTATTTTTTATAGCTGGCTGCACTAGTTAAGAGTTTATCTTTTTCTCTTCACATTGGAAGGAGAAAGATGAACTCTGAACGAGTGTAGCCAGTTCAGCTATAAAGAATAGAATTTATGTACATACAAATACGTGGAACTAATTATAGATCTATCTTTATTCCAATTGTACCTTTTAGACAGAATTGGGACATGATAAAATATAATGATATATCATAAAATAAAACAAGTACAAAATAAAATATAAAAATCTTTCCAATTACAATATTAGAAACAATAATTACAGCTGTATATCATATAATCTCACCAACAAAATAATGGAATTTAAATATATTACACTATTTCTTTGAACATTGAAAGTAATATTTTTGTGTTTAAGAGTCGTTTTGAATATGAAAAGAACTTTTTTACATTTAAATCGTTTTGAATATAAAAAGAATTTTTTTGCATTTAACACATCTGATCGCACTGTGCATTGAAAAATAAATAATATATAATATTAAAAAAAAAGAACACTTTTACCCAGGATCATCATCAGAATTAACTGCAACAACTCAACTCTATATCTCTAAACAATATGACAAGAGAAGGCGCAGTGGATCCTTACCATGACCCGAAGCGCCGATTTTCAGTTTATACTCTGAAATGTTGTGAAGTTTGGCAATGACAAGCATTACTGGAAGTTGATGTATCAACAAGAAATTACGAAAAAAAGTTCGAGGTTCTTAGAAAACAACAGAAAAACACAATATTTGATTAAAGTATTTATATATAAATAATATTCTTTTCGTGGCTACACACATGCACACATATATAAATATATAAGATTAATTATATATTATATAAATTTTAATTTTATTTCAAAGCGTTTATTCTAAAAATATCAGATTTCACGCCCTCACGTTGGCCATGGATGCCATTATATCGTAACGAATATCTGTGACGTCACGAGCAAACGTCACATCGGACGATCTTTTTTACGTATGTATAAGTCTATTTTTTATAGCTGGCTGCACTAGTTAAGAGTTTATCTTTTTCTCTTCACATTGGAAGGAGAAAGATGAACTCTGAACGAGTGTAGCCAGTTCAGCTATAAAGAATAGAATTTATGTACATACAAATACGTGGAACTAATTATAGATCTATCTTTATTCCAATTGTACCTTTTAGACAGAATTGGGACATGATAAAATATAATGATATATCATAAAATAAAACAAGTACAAAATAAAATATAAAAATCTTTCCAATTACAATATTAGAAACAATAATTACAGCTGTATATCATATAATCTCACCAACAAAATAATGGAATTTAAATATATTACACTATTTCTTTGAACATTGAAAGTAATATTTTTGTGTTTAAGAGTCGTTTTGAATATGAAAAGAACTTTTTTACGTTTAAATCGTTTTGAATATAAAAAGAATTTTTTTGCATTTAACACATCTGATCGCACTGTGCATTGAAAAATAAATAATATATAATATTAATATATACTTTTCTTCTCTCCTGTTAAACATATATATATTAAAATATTGTTTTTCTTCCTTATTTTACTTTTTACAATGCAAAATTATTCACTATAATTGTAAATTACATGAGAAATGCATGAATTTTTAATCTTTATATCATGTGTATTTGATGTTTCTGAAAATAATGTTCTTTTCATTATTTTTGTGATCTCCCCTGATCATCCGACATTCTTTTTTACAAATATAATCTATCAATGTATGTGATTGTGATTCACGATATTTTTTCATATTGCTTATAGGCCTGTATAAATTGATAATGCATGTGTCTCTTTCTTTCTTTTTATCATGCATTGCTCAACATCGCATGATATTTCTTAAAGGCATAGCAGTATCATATGCCATGTCAGCAATTACACTCTACCTTCAAATTTGGCAATGGTATCGTGTACACTTTCTATTACACTATATATATATGGACGTTCCATTGGATTGACTTTCAACATTGACAGGATTAAGTCCCGCATATCCTGAAAAAGAAAAATATAACTTTTTATCCTTGAAATATTGATATTGTGCAAATAAGGCAGATCTGTCTATAAGAAAAAGTCTAACTTTATTTAAAAGTCAAAATGAGAATTATATATTTAAAATTTGATATATTTACTATAAATAAAATTTAACATACAGTTATAGATATCTATAAATATAACATTTTCTTACACAAAATTTAAGTTAAAATTATACATACATAAATTGTAATGTAAAAAAAAAGCAGAGAATAAACTCTATAAATATAATATTTTTACTTATTGTAAAAAAAAAAAGCGTTATTAATTATATATAAGTAATTATTGAACGTTTGCAATGCAAATTACAATTTTATATATTTTTACATATAGTGTTACAAATTTAACTTAAAAATATCTTACTAAAAAAAAAATTAATGACTTTTTTGTATACTTTTTCAAATGATGATTTTCATTTGAATAGTAATATTCAACAAAAAGACAAAGAGAATGCAATTAATATAATTATATCTAAATCATATAACAAAATAAACATACATGACTAATTATGTAACAAAAATGGTATACATTTGAAATAAAAATATGTACAATTTTCTCTACTTTGCATAAACTCTTTAAAAAAAAAGAGATTTTAGTACTAATTTATATAAATAGTTACTAGTTTTTCTGACTGAATATTAAAAAAAAAAAAGAGAAATCTAATATTATTAATACAAGTTGTTCTATAATATTATATAATATTAAATATCACCCATACAGATATTAAATATTTACTTTTCCTTAAAAACAAAATTAGACAATGAATATTTAATACGATAAATCGAAATAAAAAGTAGAATATAAATCTGTGAACAATTAAATTTATAATAAACATTTAATTGTTTCACATCTCAAGATTAAAATTTTGAAATGTGAAATTGAAAAAAGTTATTAATAATTAACAAATCCATATAAGAAACAAGGCATATTACACATTACCTCGTTATATGGGGTATTTTCTGGAAATGTTACATGTGCACTCATCACAGCAAGAGCTATGCTGTCACCACGTTCGTAAACGGTATCAAAAGGAGATTTAAAGTAACACAATGCATATAATATACACCCCAATGACTGAAAGAAAAAGGCAATTTTATGATGAAATCCAGAGCACATATCAGTTGTAAAGAATATATTGAAAGAAGCATAGAAGTATTATAACATTTACCCAAATGTCTGTTCGTTCATCAACCATAGAATAGCTCTCAACATTGAATAATTCTGGTGCTCTATATGGCATGGAGCATCTTTCAGCTGCTAAATCTTGTAAAACACGTGCAGCTTGAGTACCACATACTTGAACTCTGGCAGATGCCATGGAACCTAAACAGTGATTTAGTATTTGATGAGGAAAAAATTGCTGTTTAATAATTAAATATATTAACAAAAGATATAGTAAAATATAATCTACCCAAATCCATAATGACAGGTGTTCTGTCGTCGCTAAGTACTATATTTGCAGTTTTCAAATCTCTATGAGCAAGAGGTTCTGGTTTAGCCTCATGAAGTGCTTTTACACCCTCACAAATCTGTAGAAAAATGCTGAGAATATCTATAGGACTCAAATAATCACAAATCGTTGCTCGTTGTTCCAGTTCATCTGCTAAAGTTCCTTTCTGAAATGGCAACGGTATTGATGGATTCATTAAAAACTGCATTGTATGGAACATATTTCTGTTAAAAAGTATCAACTTACATGATAATATGGTAAAATAATCAACACTTCACTTGTCGTATTAAGAATTGGGTCTGCTGTACCCATACATGCCGAATCTACACATTCTATAACATTTGGATGCTTTATCAGTTTATAATACTCAACTTCTTTCATTGCTAATTGTTGGTCTTCTGATCCATAGCAAACAATTTTCTTAATAGCATACTTTTTGTGTGTAATAACATCCTCAACTAAGAGTACTGTGCTGAACCCACTGAAAAAGTGAAAAATTTTACTGCATGTCACATTTTTTTGAAAATATTCATCGCCTTTGTAAAACTTATAAAAAACAAATATCTTTTTTGTAGATAGAGATTTCTTTTTATAACGCATTGAGCAAAGTTAAGCAATTGTTTAGAGATACATACACACATATTTCTACAGATATATTTGATTTAATGCGTCATACAAACTATACCATTATCAATAAAAAAATTAAAATTATAAAATATTATACTTGTTAATAAATTTATCTGATAAACTTGCCCTTCGCCGAGATGTTCGCGGACCCTGTACTTCCTCGAGTTTACCGTAATGGTCTCTTTGGCGCATATACAACCCATTCTTAAAATTAGATTTAAACCTAGACTATTCATTCTCACAGTTGTTGATTATCTCATCGCGATAAAAATCAAAATAAATCTGGCGAGAAAAATATCCCTCCGATCTCTCTTGCTCAGAGCATACAAACGTTTTGGTTTTGACACGTCAATTATAACTAGGTTAGATTAGGTTGAGAATTTTTCGAACTACTAAGGCCGCGTTCGAAAACATCACCCGTGTCACCGACGAGATATCATTAAAGACCGGTGGTCTTATGGGATTTAGTGTGACTGGAAAAAAAAAAACTCGCTACAGTCGGTGCCCGTGTGCACCGAGCGTCGTTCTATCTTTATTATTTACTGAAAATTGAACAAAGATAGCTTAAGAAGCAAATTGCGTATGTACATGTATGTATTTAAATCTTAGGACAATTGACGGAAAAGTGTATTCTTTCCGTATCGCGAGGACAATGGAAAATTGAGCTCTATATCGATCGCAGTCTCCGGTAACGGAGTCGCGAAAATGAAGTTGCTTTACTCCAGAACATCCTCCCGAGTCATTATACTATACATTACTTGCCGATCTTCTTTTTATTAAAATTTTACTCCTCTACAAACTTTGGAGATTAAAATAAACTTTTCCATCGCTTACGCTTTTAAAAATATACATTTCTGTAATGAATTGATTTTTTACATCTATGATTTCACAGATAACTTTAAAATGTACAAGTTTCTTTTTTCGGACAACTTAATTTTAGAATTTTTATGTTAAAACGGTTTTTTTTATAAGCTCATAAAAAAATTTACTTTATCTTCGCCAAAAAATTGTGTCCACGGCTAGAACGAACGTTATTTAATAAATGCGCATTTCAACACTTACTACTCGTTCCTGTTTACATTTAGTAGTCGCAAGTTAGTCGCAATAGCCGCTCGTTGTCGCAAACTTTTTTCTAACTCGCGAATCTGGTTTCACGACCGGCCTCGAGCACGAAACGTCCTCCAGGTCGGATAAACTTTGCCATGTATTCACATTCTTCTCGTTTTTTTTTTTTTTTTGATAGCCCGTGCTTTACTCCTATTGGCGGAGTTCGTGTTCTTGGAGGGTAAGAATTGGTGAGTACAAGCTCTATTTAATGTAATAAAATACTTATGTTATATATATAAAATTAGAGCACTTATGTAAAATACACATTAGACACATTTATTTATATCACCAGTTATACTATGATTTATAGAAAATATACATATAAAGAGTTTAAAAGTTGCATTTTGTGAATTTCACTCATCGAGTCTTTATGTAACAAACTTTCTTATTATTAAATAACGTTATTAGTTGACAGAATTTTATTATTGCTGTCCAGATAGCTTCCCATTCAGGAATATGTTTCTAATAATCTCTAATAATAATATATCTATCAATAGCATTGAATCTAAAGGAGATACCATATGACATAAAACCTGTGAGTCTGGTAAAAAGTGGCGGAGAACAACATTCCAATGAATTTCGAGAGATTAATCCAATGGAGCAAGTGCCTGCGCTCCATATTGACAATCATACACTAATAGAGTCTGTAAGTATATTTGGTTATACATTACAACAATTATTCTTCAAAATTTTTAATAATATGAACGATCTCTCTTTATACAGCTAAATATTCTGCAATACTTGGAAGAGACCAGGCCGAATCGTCCATTGATGCCGGCGGATCCTGTCAAAAGAGCTAGAGTAAGAGAGATTTGCGAAGTAATTGCCAGTGGCATACAACCTTTGCAAAATCTCGTTGTTCTAATTTACGTCGGAGAGGAACGTAAGAAGGAATGGGCGCAACATTGGATCACTAGAGGATTTACAGGTATTTAAACATAACAGATTAAGTCTTCATATAAGTCATAATAGGAACTTGCAATAAATGATGAGGATTCTTTGTTTTCTATAAAAACTTTTATCTGAGATTTAAGTAAATAATCAATTTTATTTAACTATTAGTTATACCTCTTGTATACCTTGATATCGTCTTTACATATTCGTAATATGAAAACTACGAATGTTTGCAATTATAATTGTTGTACGCACATATCGCATCTAACGATAAGATTGTTGAGAAAAAAATGTTAGATAACATCACTATATATCTGAATGTCTTAAAAAAAACGGCAGGGATTTAAAAAACTGGTTTATATAATCGTTAATAAATCAAGTAGCGACAACTTGTTTGTGTGTGCTCATATAATTGAGCAGATATACCGATAATGCTATTTTTTAGCTGTGGAGAAGTTGTTATCGTCGAGTGCAGGCAAATACTGCGTCGGTGACGAGATTACGTTAGCGGATTGTTGCCTAGTGCCACAGATATTTAACGCGCGAAGGTTTCACGTCGATCTGAGACCTTTCCCCACGATTCTGAGGGTGGACCGTCATTTGGAGCATCACCCGGCCTTTACCGCGGCTCACCCCAATAACCAGCCCGACTGTCCGCCCGAGGCGACCAAGTAGCAAGCGAGGCAGACCACCCTTTTCCTCTTCTAATTCTTTAGGAGCATGGAAAGAGGTGGTCCAACATTATGTGGTCTCATAGTGACAAAAGGTGATACGAGATTCATTCATGCGTTCATTGCATATTTCACATGCACTTGGGATCGCACCAATCATTTCGATTAATCAAATCTCTTGTTTCTATATATATCGTAAATAAAATTGTAATCTAGAAAAGAGAGAATAGCAAATTGCTGAACCAAATAACATAATCCAATACATCATGAAAATTCATTGCGCGTATCTTTGATTATGCATGCGGATTTAATCATTGCGATAGCGAGTATACGAGAAAGTTATCTTTAACTCGCACTATCAGCCAATAAATTGCTGTTATATATTTCGATAATGGTATTTATATATACCACATACCAAGAAAATTGTCCGATATTAGTTGCACCTTTTATCACTTATGAACTGCATATCGGTACCGAAATGGTTAACGGCTAGCAACAAAAGCGAGTATGGTATCGTTTTTGATTTTAGATCATGTTTATTTTTAGAACACGGACTCGCGCCATTTCTGTACTTGCAAGGAAAGGGAAAAAAATATTGGCCTATTTTTTAAGTTTTGTTACGTTTTTATATACGATTTTACACGATCGATCGAAATTTATTTTCACGATGTGTATTTTTCACACGATATTTTACAAAGATATATTATTGACCTATCCCGAATAGGTTCTGTTTTGAAATCAAAAGTTTACTTTTTATATACTTATTATAATTTTTTATTTTTCACTTTTGCTTACATAGCGTAAGAGAAAAAGAAGTGGATGTTGCTATTAAATCCTAGCGAATACCCCGAACTCTTCGCTGGTACGTAGGGTAATGACTCTCGTATTTACGCGATATATACGAAGCACACACGAATAAATTCATAACGCGAAACGATCAAATATTCGAAGGGAAACGTGTAATAAGGGAATGCGCTCTGCTCAATATCTCCCAGAATACCGACGAAAAAAGTACAAATCGCACATTTTCTTTGATATCCCAGTTGTAGAGTACATTAGATTTGCTCGTTTTTTTTTTTATTTACACTTTTGCATTGAAATATCCAATAAATGATTTATCTTGTCTCAAGATGATTCAATACACAGTAGCCTAATAAAATATATATTAAAGTAACCATTTTTTTGTCTCCAAGTGTTTGTACTTGGCGCTTTTTTATCTCTTTTTTTAGAAAAGTAATTAAAACTTTTTTTTATATACTTTTTTATACTTTGGAAACGTTTAAGCAATTTTTGTAATAAATGCGGATAAAACGAGCAGATCTATCGTATTTTTTATGTATGACACCGTGTAATATATTTTTTTACTTTACGAAATAATTTTTAGGTTTAAACAATATTTCTTTATCAGAAATGTACCGAACTTCTCGATATGTGTATTTTTAAAAAAACGGACTTGTTACGCGTAAGTTACGTGTAGTTAGATAATCTGTGATTTGGAATTACGTTGTGCAGAACCGAAGTGAGACGTTGATGCGAAGATTAGAATGTGCCATTGAAATGCCGTAGTACAATCGCGAACAATTTCAAACGCAAACGAGAGAGATACGTGTGTCGACAGAATCAAAATGTATATTTATGCTCTTACAAATAGTTTTCCGGGTTCAGAGCATGTAAACAGAGAGATATCGATATTTTTCACGAATGTTTTTTATAGGATCGCTCTTATTGTAAAGCTGTGTTATATACATAGCCTTCGTGTGCCCTTCGAGAAATTTAATAAAAATAAATGCAAACGTAGCGTTCGTAAAAAAAATCGAGTCCTGTAGATATATCGAACACGACCGATCTCTAAAGGCCGATAATCAAATTACACCTGGCATTCTTCCTTATTGCCGCGTTATCCTTCTTCTTTTCCTTGTTTTACAAACGTCATGACATTTGCACATATTTGGAATTTCACGTATTGTATAAAAATGATTTCTTGTATATCGCTCACGTCATAACTGCCTTTTTGAAACTTTAACGAGTACTTCTTCCAGCTGTAGCCTCCAGCCTTCGCAATTATTTTTCTATAGCAGATATAGTATCGTGTAATGAAGGTATAATTCTCTTTGTGCGCTTTCCGATGGTGGATTAAGGATCAATCAATCACAGGGTGTCCCACAATTAAACCATCAACAAGTTTTGCTAGTATACTCTATATATAAAAAAAGATGTTATATCAGCATTGTATCCGAAAACGTTTCATTATCACATTACATTAAAAAAATAATACATTCGCTTAATTATCCGTTTCTAAATGCCGTTCTTCGTCTCTAATACATACATTGTAAGGAGATAAAATTTAGCATCCTACGAATTCCAACATTTTTATTTCGTTTTAGCTCAATGAATGGCAAATTAATTTTATCGATGAATTTTTATTACGAATCGACTCTTGCATGATACGTTTGCTTTTACATATTTCCATATAATTTTTTAATAAAACGTCTCCATAAAACATGCTGATAAAGTTTGACTGTTTAACCTTGGGACACCCTATATAAGAATCGTCGCAATTTGAAATGTTCTATGTCGCGCAGTACTTTGGGACGAATAAGAACACGCGTGTCTATACACACGCTCACACATAGACGTATATTAATCGACCGAGTGATTAGATAATAATGTATATAATCTTTGTACGCGAGCCACACATTCCCCTCCCACAGAGACCAGCTCTACAAATATCCAATATCGAGATGAAACAAGCATACTCGAAATCGATCGAAACTCTCATGTGTGTTTGCTACGTTTTGATAACAGCGCCTATGCATATTATGTGATGATTCGAGAGTTATGTACGAGTTAAAAGGATCTCGTTGTAATAAACGACGATCCTTGGCGTAATTAAGGGTCAACGGATGAGATCTCGTATCTGAATGTGATCTTGCGCCCGTTTATCGAATTTTTGTGCCCAAGTTACGAGAACTCGTAAAAGCGGACAAGTTAATAATAATTTTGTCGAAAACGAGCTGTGTTATTTGTAATTATTGCGGTAGCTCTTATACGATATTATAAATATATATATATCTTGATAACTAGTTTCGAAAGATTGCAATTTCGTAAGGTAAAGTCGACTTATGATTAAACAAAGAACACATTTTGTCATCTATTTAACAGCTCTGGAGCTTAATTTAGGAAGAGTTGTAGTTTATTACTTGGAATATTATAATATTCAGTCCTCTCTCCTCTTTTTACAGGAATTCTTGTCTCCGATTTAAATAAGTAATTTGTAAATCGCTCTTATTTTACATTTATACGCGAAAAGGAATCCCCCAAATTGCTTTATTCGTGCTTCCTCGTAGTTCCCTAAAGAGTAGATTTACAGACATTTTACTTGCATACTTATCTTTTGTATCGGAGGGAGGAAGAGATCTCTCAATTTGATTTTTGTCCTGTAGTTCTTCTTTTGCCACAGATAAAAACCTTGCTTCTGTTGTGATCTTTCGCTACCTATAGATCTTCCGGTATCTTATTTCCGACGAACTGACGTATCATCCGTATAACGTATGCGTGAGAAATATAAAAGCGACACTCGCATTCTGCCAGAGAGCAATGAAAGGATAAATTAATTGTATTATATTTTTATTACTTTAGTTTCGCTCTTCTTTTTTTTCCAGTCGCCGTTTATGGTTCTACAATTTAGCTTTAAGAATGCTAGCTCGGTAACGTTTTTACGAATCCATCAGTATCGCTGTATAACCCGATCGAGAATAATATGGCAATAAACGCGGCCATACAATCTTCTCCCGTCACGATAGTTCTAAATCGATTCTTATAGACGACGTAACATTTTTTACGCGGATGCGTGTGAGGCCGTTTAGGATGAGCAAATGAGAGCGTGTACAATAAATGTAGCGACTGACACGTTGATCTCTTCAAAGCGAGGAAGAGTACGAGGGGCGCGTAGATATTTTGTAAGCGAGAAAAAAGATGATGTATGTTCACACAATGCTTATATAGCGAATAAAAGATTCTGTGTCAATAGTGTATGTATAACTACACATTCGTGGTAGAATCGCGATAAAAGGAGAAAGATCAAAACAGTAAGTGCATTCGTAATTGTACCGTCATTATAGCCGAATAAAGCTACGTTTGGTCTGTAGTGGCATATTTTTTACTATGAGCGAGAGCTTTTTGATGTAATGAAAGGTCTACAAAAATATATAAACGCTAATGATTACCTTTAACGTTTCTTCTGTCTGCCGCGAAAGTTTTTGCAAGTTTTATATTTTTCTGCTTTTACACAATCCCAAATTATTCCCAAATATAGAAAAATTATTTAAATATCTTTTCTTTTTTATTACTCGAATGTAACTTCTTCTTATTATGACTAAAATAATGTTATTAATTTTCGAGAGAGAGATTTTCGTTGCAACAATACGAATACATTAATTAATAAAACAGAAGCGATAAAAAATAAATATCTGACTTACCAATGAAAACTGCATCAAACACTTTATCTTCCTGTGGTTTCCCCGAGTCGTCTTCTTAAAAAAAAAAAAATAATTCTCTTCGACAAATCGAATCGCGTGGTACGAACATAACTCACGATATTTCGCCATAAATCAATATACAATGCGTGCAAGAGCTCGAAATAAACTGTCGGGACTGATTATAATTATCTGTACAAAAATAGCTTTTTATTTCTTACTTCTTTAGAGTTTACATTACATATCTTTCTCTTTTATCAAAAACTCGATAATAAGATCGTTCGAAATAGACCGTATAACTCGATCGTCGATACTCTACCCGCTGATATCACCACCTCCTTCTCCGTCTTATTTACAAACAATTCGTCTTATAAAAAAAATACAATCCTTCATTTTCTACTGACTAGTTAGAAGAGACTATAGCGTCTCTCATACGCTCGAGATTGTACACTTAATGGAATGTAAAACGAGAAGAAAAGAAAAAAAAAAGAGAGAAAAAGATGCGTGTATCCATAATTAATTACGACATACTTAATGAGATACACATTGCGTGTGTATATATATACAAGAAGATATACAAATATATTATATAAATTCGAATACTTTAATATAAAAGCCGTGTGATATGCGAAACAATTCGCCTGTATGCCTTAACATCACAAACTTTATTGACAACGATTTGTTGACATCGACCTATGTCCCCAACTTTTTGGAATCGGCCGGATACGCATATAATCGCGTCTCACTCGAATATTGCCACGAATACTGTATACATCGAACGATTCTCTTTCTCACGCACAATGAAATCTAACGCCTTCCATTTGCCGCCGCGTAAAGATCTTACAATCTCAAGGATCAACGGTACAGTTGCGAGTACATCGCGTTACATAATATTTTACCGTGAGAGAGACACATTAAAAAAGAAACTATTAAAAATTTCTGCTCGTCTACCGCACTTCATTAAGGAGATTAAAATAATCATAGCGTATACGCAGGATGATCCCCTTAAAAACATTAATATTAACAATAATTATGATCCTCTGTCTTTCTCTGTGGAAACAAAAGCGATTAACTTTAACCGATGTTTAAGGGGGAAAATCCAGAAATTAAAACAATAATCATAAATACTACGCGCGCGATCTGTCCATCTGTACCGTTGCGATATATTTTCCTTTCTTTTCTCTTTTTTCTCTTTTTTTTTGTCGAAATTTGGAAGGCTATCTCTCGTTCGTCGCGAATCCATCGCCGTCTATAATCGTGGGATTAGATACAGACCTTCCCAATTTCCACAAAATTACAATCGTGCTTCGTTATTTCGATCGAGTATATAGAACAGAAGAGACCAGAGCGTGTTATCGAGAAATTCAGCCGGAAGATTTTTTGGTGAATGAAAAGAGAGAGAGACGATGAACGCGTATGATGTGATCATACTGCGACACTGAATGGACAAATGGATGGATGTATGGACGGTGGCCAGGTCATGAAATGAAGAACAACAGAATGCATTTAATGAGCGATTGTTTATTATGCTCTTATTATGGTCACTTGTCATACAGGTAACGATGCTTCTCAATGAGTGAAAATAGTTAATATATTATGTTTGTTTGTTTGCTTTTTTTTTTTTTTTTACTTTTATATAATTATTCAACATTGAATGGAGATAAATTGAGAGATGATGAAAGAATAACAATTTATGGATGCAAATAAATGTGGTTAGAGTGTAAAGTAATAATATTATAAGATTAGCCCTTCGGAAAGAATGCTCGTGTGTGTGAACTAAATTATATACTTCATCGATAACAATAATAGTGGTGCCCATTAAAAGAGAGGTCACGTGTCGGGATCAAAGAGCAATTAATTAAACTTCGTCGACGATCGCGAAAGTGCATAAGTAAAATCATCGCTCCTCGCGGTCGATCAATAAATAGAGAATTCTCTGTAAGCCTTACGAGCCGTACGAATATGCTCTTGTCAAGTTCATTTGACAAAATTGCGTCTCGATTTGCCGTCTTTTCACCGTCGCGTATATAGTCCCTTACACACATAGCTCTTTGCCGTAATATATCTCTCCGAGATATTTCATGCGATCATCCACGGTATCGTCGATCATTGGATATTATTGATATCCAATCGAAAAACAATATTATTTTGCAATTTTTTAGATCCGTAACTTTTGAGCATTACACGATTATTTTTCAGGTAGAATAATATTCAGATTTGTGATGTAACGCCAAGAAACACGGCTGTCGATAGTTAATTGACATTTCACCGATAAAATTTACGATATTTTCTCTACCGTGAAGAGGAATTTATGAAAGTTATTTCTCGAAAACGATTCGCTTTCGTATACTAGGTTGCCAATACTCGTGTGTTCTTGGCATTCTTCTCTCGCTTAATTAGAAATTATAAATATATTATGACTTTTTTGTTCGATAGCGTTTCTTAACATCGTGCAATGTCGTAAGCATCGAAATATACGAATGATTGAATGAAACTATCGTATGATTGAATTGATTTTTGAATTATAATAATAGACATTATATAGAAAAATATTTGATGATTATATAAGTCTTGTCCTTCGTCAATTTTCTTAATTTGCGAAATAATCGCTGTGAAATATCAAGATCAACGATACCGCGGACGATATTTTCTGTTCTCGCTATTATCTCGATGATTACAATCTTTTCGCTTGTATTCGCTTCCTCGGGTCTTTGCTTACTTGCCTAAATATCCGTACCTTCCGAAGAGTTACGACTACTTTTACCACTAACTTAGCGTAAATATCAATAATCTTATAGCTCTCTCCCTCTGTCTAATAAGGAGTTGAATAACGCAATACCCTTTTTTCCCTATATTTTTTTTTTCTCTCCCTCTCTTCGCGGAGGCGAGACGCCTCGGAATATTAAAAAATACGCAATTTTGCCCATTGCTCGTAATGCACCGTCGTTCTCGTGTCGTGTTCGAGACAAGGAAAAAGAAAAATCGAATCGTGTGCACAATTATAGCATAAACTGTATAACGATGTGTGTGGATTCTCTTTTTTTTTTTTTTTTTTCGTCTAATCGTGTGTGTGTGGCATAATTCGCTTCAAAGTCGGTAAAACGCATGATGATGAAGAAAGAACGCACTGTCGCATGTATGTATGTGTGTACGTGTTCTTAAATTATTTTATAGCCGAAGGAATGTAAGGTACAATACTCTTGATCGTGTGATTTCATTATCGGTGCGAGACGAATAAATCTCTCTATGGTACCTTCGCAGCCAGCTGCTCTCTTTCTCTCTCCCTCTCTCGCTCTCATATATATCTCGATTATATATATATGTATATATATATATATATATATATATATCATATATGGAAGATAACATATATTATATATCATATATGGAAGATAACACTATTCTCTCTTTCTCTCGATCTAATAATTCGCGGAGTACGCCGTAAGTAAGACGCACGAAAAAGACTTATCTCATCGCGAAAGTGAAGCGCAAACGCGCGTTCTCTCTGTTTCGTTTGTCTGCAGGTTCCTCTATTCGCGTGTAGGCATGCAATTTTGACATTATACAACGTGTGTATGCGTGGTATCAGTGTCTATATGTGTGTGTATGTATGTATGTATGTATGTGAACGAGACGTGATCGTGTGGGATGAGAGCACACGCGCATCCACGTGCACTTGCGACTTTTAGCAATATACTACTTATACTCAACAAGGTACTCAATAGTTTCCTCTCTCTTTCTCTCCCTTCCTCCCACCCTTTGTCGCTACTTTATTTTATTTGTTTTTTTATATTCTCCTTTTTTTTTTTTTTTTTTAATCCCCGAGCTGCTATATGTGCTACTTCTACCTCAACAACAACGATCTCACGTCTTGTGTAATTCTTTTTTTTTTTCATATTTCTTCTCTCTTTCTTACATTATACGCTCTTACCCAAAATAATATACCATATTAACAGTCTAACTCTATTATAATATTCTCACTTCCGATAAAATAACATTACATACAATTTTGTACAACCCTCTTAATTATTTTGTAACGAATGTGTGTTTTGGTTGTCGCGTGGACACACACGTAACGTCCCTTCGTTATGTGCGTTTCGATACATTAATTTTCTTTCTTTTTTTAGTTGATTCTATTCTTTCTCTCCCTCTATCTCTCTCTCTTTCGATTAAATGGCCTTCCGCGCTACTTTATGAGAATGATGCTGAACTAGATAAACGAAGATTGTGATATGGGAAATATATCTCATGTCGTCGCTAATCGAATGATCTCTGTGTGCTGTATCTTCGATAATCTGTATATCTTTCGTACTACATTTATAATAAAACTTCGTCTCCGCTATTGTCAATCGATCCGATACACGATGCAATAAATAATTTCCTCTTTTTTTTTTTTTGCGACGTTCTCTATAACGATATATCTTAGCGTAACATGTCCCTTAGTGTAATATATATTACGTTTTACATTGATTTCCTTGGCTATCTTGGCGAATTCGCCCTATCATTTAAACATTTGATTATAGCGAACGATTGCAAAAAAGTGGCAGTAAACTAACAAGTATAGATAAGTAAAACTCTTAATGTAGAGACAAATGCAACATTCTTTCTGAAACAATAATTGATTGTAATATATATCGCAAATAGCTAACATTTGTGTATACATACATATATATATATATATATATATATATATATATATATGTTTGTATTTTCTCTTTTTTTAAATTGTTATTTGAATTGTTATCCATCGATCCATTAGGCCCTCTCGGTACAAAACACTTTCGATATAAATTCTTTTCACCGATATGTTTTTTATAAGAACGTTCGCGCAGTATTATTAAAATTACTGACTTTTATAATAAATTCGTCTAAACCAATTTTCTCTCTTTTTCTTTTCAGCCAGTAATCGTAACGATTAATTTCGATCAAATTTATCGTGCAGCAATATTACTCCAGAAATTGTTGCATCTCTGATTTTTTTTTAAATTATTATCGTCAATCGTGTAGGACAAACTGTGGAACAAGATACACGCGTGTGAAAGAAAAAAAGTTAGGAAACGCAAACACGTGCACAACGCGACAATGCCGAAATTATAAAGTGTTGTTTATAAATAACTCTTTCTCTCAATTTGCAGCTCAGTGTCTATTACAGCGAAAGCTAATTAAATCCCTCTCCCTCTTTTTTTCTATCCTCGTAATATTCCTGATTGCTGCGTGAGTCCCACTTTTACTGCAAACTAAGAATATATATGTATATAGGAGTATATAAAGATGTATCTCGTAAAATATATACTCCATAACGATATATTATATATATTTAGCATATTAATGGGAAATAAATGTCCGACTCTTAATTGAAAACGGCCTGCCTGTCGTGCAGGATATACACATCTTTAACAATACGTTCTACTGTCAAACGTTAACAAGTGTGGTGGCTGATGAATTAGGAAGGGGGGAGGGGGAAAGAAGGAGGATAGGTTCGATATGGCACTAAAGGATGTGGAGTGACATGCAGCAGATTAATATTATTATTATTATTATTATTATAAACTCTTGGCGCGATTTCGAATATCACTTTCTGCCTCTATTTTGCGTTTTCTTTCTTTCTTTTTTTCAATCTTTTTTTTTTTTGTCTTCACATCGGATCTTAATGGAGATTAATGCGATGAGAAAGTACGATGGAACATGATCTTTACGATGTAGCCTAGCACACACAGCCAAGTAACGTGACACACGAGTCACCCTTACGCGCGGCGACGGAGTGTCGAAGATTCATTTAATAGTTATTGTAACAATAGTCGTAATTAGAATTGAGGCGAGTCAATGCAATTCCTACAGTTCCCTGATTACTATGCTACACCTTTTCCTCGCGGTTTTTCTCTCTCTTTTCTTTTTCCTGCGAAAAGGGTTGTATATATTTCAACTCTCTCTCTCTCTCTCTCTCCCCCCTTAATATTCTTCTTTAGTATTCTCATGCGCGTACGAGAGAGTATACACGTACATATATACGCAGATACATAGAATTATATATTTATCTCTCTTTCCTCTTTCGTGTCGGACAGGTTCGATCGTGTTTTATAATTTGTTTTATAATATTTCATTAGAGATTTAAGAAACTAGCTACATGTCTATGCGTCTAACTGTCCTGTGTACAGTCCTATCGACTGGCGACACGCCACTGTCTTAGCAAGTAGAAACAAAGAAATATATCTTAAACTGTACAAAACAAAGCGTTGTATGAAAAAATAAAAGATTTTAACAAGGAGGGGAAAGGGGGTGGGGAAATGGTTTTGGTGGCGACGACTGTCGGGTCTATTGCAACGGTATGTCCTCTCGTTAAACAACTCGTAGGTAACATCGACTGGCCGATCAATACTGCTTTGCCACCTCGTGCGCGAATGCATCGTCGTCATTCCTATTGGAAAATCCTCGACGATATGATACACGCGAATCGTTTAATCCTTTCCATTTCCACGATCTCGCGGATTCCCATCTTTTTCGAGAGAATATACGCTAATTTCTCTCTCTCTCTCTCTCTCTCTCTCTCTCGCAAATATGCATCGAAAAACATTTACCATCTTGCTTCAATGATAATCGAATACGCGAATCTTGAGAGAGAAATTGAAGATAATAGCGTTTATTCATGTAGTCGATGCGCAACTTCGATCGGGATCGTTTCGGAAAGGGTTAAAAGAGACTCCTATGCGAATTAATATCGTTGCGCAGGTAACGACAATCTTGTCGCCAATAAAAACATCCTACTGTTGATGTACGTTCAATATATTGCGGCACGTCAATTATCAATCAAATATTTGCGACAAGATTATCTGCTCCAATATTGATCGCACGCGGAACACGACTTTGCACACGGAATTGTTGATTTCACCGTTATATATCTCGGTATTATGTAATATACGTTGAAGATAGACATATACACGTACTGATGCATATATATATATATATATATGCACATACGCCGTTAATCGATCTCAGGAAAGTTTAATCGAAAGTGTTATTTTAATTTAATGACAACTGTGTATATCCTCGAGATACTGTAAAAAATGATATTCTTCAGCGTTGCAGAGTAATCATTTTATAGAGCAGATTCATTAATTACACTCTTCTCGGAAATATGTATTAGAATCTTTTACCTCTCTTTTATCTTTTCTCAATCCCACAGATCTTGAAAAATATATCTATACTTCACACTTTGTTGTTAACTGAGAAGATATTCCCGAGACATTTTCCGCTGTATCAGATAAGCGATTAAAACTGCACATCTCGAAGAGAGACACCGTTGAATCGCTATTTAAAATAACACTTTCAATGTCGCAAACTCTACGAATCATAGTATACGATCACTAAAATTCATAACAGGCGGTATACTCTTTATAAATCAACATTACACTAAGGAGAATACTTATGTTAGACTGGCTGATCGCGCTATGGCTTCTATACGTAATCCGTGTTTTCTTTTTGCGTTTTACGTTTGATTCTTACCCGAAGTATATCGCATGTGGAGATTTGTCCTCCACGCGTCGTTTACATTCATTTAGGGGAAGAGAATCCTGAATCCTGATCTCTCGTCGTCATCGAAAAACAAATACGGACGTCATCGCGCGAAATATCCGTTATCACGCTTAACCGAGCATGTTAACTTTATTTTCGTGCGCGCTGCATGACGAAGCTGTCCTTTTTCCTCCCTCGATCTCCCCCTCGTCTTGGCCGAACTTTGCGGCATGCCGTCGCAAGCGCTTTACTTTACCTGCGCAAATAAATTCTACAATTTTACATTCTATATCAACGTACATACATAATTCGTTCGTTCGTTCGACATCTTTCGCGTACTGGCGGCTGTTAAATATACACTCTCTTTCTCGGCTCCATCACAGCTAGTCTTATATACGTAATCTGCTCTACTACGGAATGTTTAATATCAAAGAAAAGAGAACCCTATTCCTAGTTTAACGTGAATTGCTACCTACAAGTTGTTTGTCAGAGAAACCTCCTCCCTTCTCCTCCTTCTCTCTCCTCCTCGTTCGGATGTTGCATCTATCTACAAACATGTACGTCATAACTTGTGTCATTTGTACCAACAGGCGATGCATATCACAAAATTAGTCGCATCATTCTGCGCTAACGAAGATACGAGATGCCAAGAGCGATTGTTTTTTTCAATTTGTTTCAACGTTATACGCGAATAGCACTAAGATTAATAGCATAGCTATTGCGAATGTACAGTAATAGTAGGGTGAACGGGTTTGGAGGCGAAAATTCGTGCAAAAAAAAAAAATGTAATAATCACTCGTAAGAGCTTCTTAAAGATGTCTAATATAAAGTAGATAAGTAAAAACGGGAGCGAATTGCGACGCGTAAGCAATTTGTCGATTCAAGAGTTTATCGTCCAATCTCGTTCACAATTGCGTTAAAATCGGATGATACAGTTAATCTTTATCTCTCTCTCTCTCTCACAACTTTAACAATATGGGGATATAAAATAAAGATACCGATCCTCAATCCATGCTTTTCATATATAATGCGACGTTTCTGTCCGAGAGACGCGAATAAATAACATGGAGAATCGTGAATATATGAAAGACGAATAAATAATATTAAATCTAATAGGTAACGTACATATTTGTAGGAGTGGCAATGTAAAACTGTGTATGTGTACTTGTGTGTATAAACGGGTCTAATGGCAAATTCGAATGACAAGTGCTTTTTTCTTTTTCTGTTTTTTTTTTTTGCTTTTTTTTCTTTACACGCTTGTCTCGTATCGCGCGACAAACTCAGCATCTTTCGCCTGTCGGCAGTCAGCCAGAGAATGTCCAGTCTATTATAACGGAAGATTTATAGTGCGATGAGAGAATCAGCGATAGCCAATTAATAGTAACTCTAATGTGATGATTTCGGAGAGAATGACGATATAGACTTGTGTATATATTATTTTTTATATTAATCAATATATAATGAAATATATTATGCTGCCGTTAGCGTTAATAGCACGAAGGCCATCAGAACACACTAATCCATAAATTAAATTAATGCCTACAAGTTACATTTATATATGCTCTCTTAAAACTTTAGAATCGATCTATCTACAGCAACCTAATTAATTATTTCATATTTCTCGGTGACTTTTCAATCTATTTGGGCAACACAGTGAAGTTTAATTGATAATAGAGTTCACATAGAATTTATGGATAAACATAAATCTGTTCTCTCCTCTTTGCGGACGCAAATATTTTGTCAACAATCTTTTATAATATCTCATTTCCACATTATATATATATATAATATTTCTGTATATATATTATATATTTATATATATATATATATATTTTTTCTTTTTTTATATATATATACATATATATGTCATTTTTATAATTCATTTAACGTGATTTCTCTTTTTGTATTAATCTAATGCATCGCTCTCTCGCTGTATAATACAATACATACGTACGCACATATATACATATACCTGTATATATATATGCATGTATGAGTGTGTATGTATATATACATATATATCTTTCTCTCTGCATAATATATTATAATTATCATTCCCGTTATGCGATATTTATAAATATACAAGTCATTGTTTAAAGAGCGGTGGGCCAGCGCCTCCATTTATGAATTGTACTCATGTACAGTTATATATTTCATTTCGATATAATCATTATTTTAACTACACCCATTATTGATTACTACCTAGTTTATATATCACCCCTTCCTATTTACCTACCCTCACAAAAGAAAGAATGATTATAAAAATCCCTACTCGTAGCGGATATCCTTTCTTCCGGTGACGAAGCTTCAAGAAAACTTTCCGTTTGACTCACATTCGCATAAACAGAGATTTTCCATTTGAAAAACGCTCCCTTTTACGTTCCATACAGAACCCAAAAATACGCGACTTGGCTAAATAATCGAGATTGTCCAAAATAATGATTAAAACGGGCAACAAAAGAGATTCTCGTATACGTCTACGATCGATAAATCTCTACTAGATCATTTTAAAATATAACAATCTGCATCGGTAAAAAGTCTCGCTCGCGACGAGAAGAAAACGATTGAGGAAAAAACTCGCACGTAAATAAAAGACTTCTGAAAAGTGTCGTTTAAACGAGCGTTTGCGTCATTTTAAGAAAGCAAATGCCAATATATATCCTACTTCCTCCCAAAGGCACATAACAAATTCCAATGACGAGTTCGATTAAATGAGACTAAAGTAAACGGCAGGCAAAATATTAATAGATCTTAATCGTAGTCAACTGACGATCGCCTTAGAAGAGAAAATAATTAGACTAAAAGTTCTAAAGATAAATAATGGAACAATTGCACGCGCACACGCAGATTATATAATTTGAGAATATCATCTAAAATGATGTGCAAAAAGGTATTATCCTAGTAAACGAGTGCTAAAGCGCAAATAGATTTTTCCATCCCTTAGAAATATATATTAAAAAGTAACAACAAGTGAAGTTATAATCTAGTTTTGTATATATTACTCTAAGAGCTACGAAACTTAGAAAAGTTAGATGAGGTTTCGTTTAGAGATGGAGACTTAAACGCTTCGAAATTAAAAATATAACTTGGCAATAAGGAATTATCCGTTATTTATTTAGCTGGACCAGCCAGTGGCATTGTAAATATATAAATATATGTGTGTTTATATATATATAGAATAACTCACTTTTTGGGTATATATATATATATATATATATATGAATATATTAAACTTCCAGATATATTTCTACGTTATACATAGAAGTTTCAGAAAAAGTTTTATAAAATTTTAGGGTCAAAAATCTTAAGCTCCAAGAGTTTATAATTCTTTTTCCGAAACATCCTATGTATACATATATATATATATATATAAACTCTTTGGTTTTGCCAAGATATTACTCTGTGTACTCGGTGATCAAAGTAAATAATATATTTTGCAAAAAAAACGGAAAGAGTCTATTAGTCTAAGTATTTCTCATCTCGAGAGACAATTCAGAATGTTGATCACACGAAACTCTTGTCTCAACATTTCTCAGTTGACGAATCGATGACTGACCCAGATTCATTGCCGTTTCGACGTTGAGTTCTGTATGAGCTGAATCTTTTGATCATTATGGTGAAATATGTCCCATAAAAATCTGAGGATGCATTCGCAATATTATCCAGGCAGAAAAGTTCGTCTATCGAAAGAAGAAGCCGTATCTTTCCAAATGTGTAGTGTAGTTTGTCGTGTACAGTGATGTGAACAATTGTGTTTGGCTAAAGGGATGCCGTAATCGAATCTTTCCGAATCGATAACAATTACATCGTGTGGATTACCTCAACTGGTAATACGCTATACACAATAACAACTAGTTATTCGTGGCAACTCTGATGCGATACGCGCGTGTTGTGTGTGATAAAGCCCCGTAATGTGGTGTATCACAGAACAATCGTAGTAGTTATATATATATATCATACAACATACATCATTTATATATGTATATATATGCATATATATATATATATATATATATTGGCGCGAGCGAAATGAATCGACGGGACGCGTTTTACGCGCGTTTTGAAGATTAATATTATATTCAAATACATACATCCGGCGTTGCAGAATGAATTTACAGAATTCAATGTCCGTTGAAGGTACGTATATGTATATGTATATATATATGTCAAAAGTATATAGAGGAGAGAAAAGAATCGCGCGCCGTGTCCGGGCGCGTTCTACTTTCTCAGGGTGTGAAGAGGTGAACAACGGAGCTCAATAATGGGGATGAACAAGAGGAGTGCTGTACTTGAAATCAATGTATCATACTGGCGATGGCATTCTGACGTGCTCGCTTCGCCTCCTCTTCACTGATCCTCTGCTCGATCAAGTATTGAGCAGTGTTGATTGCATTGGGATAACCCGTGATAGTCACTATGCGGTTCCTGGTACCAGGGGCGAACATGCCCTTCTTAGAGATTTGTATGTTGGCGCCACTTAGGTGCTGAATCTCAATGAGGGCACGACCACCGGGTCCCAGAATAGCTCCCACTATAACCTCTGCAATTTCTATGTCTACTTTCTTGGTCTCCTTGTTGTTGGCGTCTACCTGTGTAGGACTCTTACTTACAAGTGATAACTGGTTAGTGCCCAGGCCAAATGAATTGTTGTTCAGATGTATCGCGCTGGCGGCGGTGTTGTTCTGTCGGAATGGATCGAACGGCTCGTAACGATCGAGGGTATTGCGTGGCGTCGGCGAGGTCGATCCGAGTGCAGGCACGGTCCCGATCGGTCCAAATACACCGCCATTGTTGTTCGAGCCGTTCGCGGTCGTCGTACTGTCCATCGGATTGCCCAGGTAGCTCATACTAGACGGCATCCCTATGCCCATCCCGAGGATATTGTACTTGGCGAGAGTTGCGATCGCGGCGAGTATCTCTGTGGCGGCGGGCTCGGAGAAACCTGTCGTACGTAGATTTAGTTTTATATGTTCCAGCAGTTGCGTCGTCACTGGTGCCGTGCCCGCTGTAATGGCCGCGCCCAGATTCAGGTTAAGACTCAAACCAGCACCGTTCAAGAGACTCACTAAAATAATAAACAGACATCCATCATGATATTTATTAATCACAAGACGATGACACGATTTCTCGTTAAACCCGTAAATACATGCGCAATCCAAGTTTGATCGTGACAAGAAAAAGAAAAAGGAAACTCGAACAAGATATAATTTCTCTTGTACGACTCTCAAAACATATGAAAGATATTTTCTTTACTTTTATTTTTACTTCTACTTCTTTTATTTAATACAGTGAAATTTTCCCACATCCGCAGTTATTTAATAAAAAAATTTAAAGAAAAAAATGCGGATTTAAAAGTTTACAGTAATATATATGTATATATACATACATACATACATATATATAGTGTCACACACTATATATATAGTAGTATGTGTGCGTGTATGTGTGTGCGTGACACTAGGCTAATAAAACTGTATTTCATTGCATCGCGGAAAATGCTTTCAGCACATTATATGCTTCAGCATTATAAAACATGTTAAATACTAACCTGTATTCAAACCAGCTGTGGATGTGTACGTGGGAGTGCTTGTGGGGGCTTGAGCATAAGGACTGCCTGTAGGATTGTAGTTGGCAACCGGACCACTTACGTCCGCGTAACTGACATTAAGACAAGTACCGCTTTGCGGATCATCCGCTACTTTGGCTAAGATCATATGTAACGCCCTGTGATTATTCTCTTTCTCACCGATCACCGTTATACATCGCTCTTGAAGAGATAGATCTTTAGCCTTCTGACTTATTTGGACGTACGAGCCGGATTCTTCCTTAATTTGCTTAATGTAATTCCCGGCTTTTCCTATTATCATCCCCGCGGTGCTATTAGGTACTAAAATTTTGACCTGAAATAGCAGTTTCGGCTCATGTCTCATTGGCGCATAAAAAGTTCGCATGTACAACAAAGAGAACAGTACAAAAGCTTAATTATCAGAGAGAAAATCAATTTATCTGATTATAAATTTAATAACTGTATTCTTTATGACTGATTGTTATTAAAATATCGTGTTTTTTATAAAGAGAATTATTATCAATATTATAACAGCAAACTGCCATTACTTTTAAGACATCCTGTCAAGAAAATATAAGTATTTTAGAATCTATAATTATATTTTTTAATATTATAATATTTTCTATAAGAGAGAGAGAGAGAGAAATATAACTATTAGTAATACAGTAATAAATTTACAGTTCTTTTTGAAAAAAATATCTTGCGTGTAAAAGAAAACAGAGGTTTACGTTTTTTACGCATAAAATGTTTAAGTTTTATACCTGCTTGTCTCTCTCCGCGGTAGCTTTACCAGAGTCGAAGTCGACTGTAGTTTTCGAGGTAAGATCAGGCTTCTCGCGTATTTTATCCATGATAAACTCCATAACTTCCATTATAGCGTCTACAGTACCAGTGATCAGGCATACCCTTTCGGTAGTTCCTGTAACGAGTAAATAAAATGGTTCTCTTAATAATGAACCAATAAAGGAAACAGAAATCTCGTGTACGTATACAAGTATAAATATATACCCGGATAGAAATCGTGCGATTTAGACATTTTCACCCTTGCCCCTGTATCCTTTTGAAGTTGAGCAATTGTGTCTCCACCTTTCCCAATAATGGCCCCGGCCGCCACACCGGGGACCAACACTTTAAGGTGATAAGTTCCATCTCCTCCTGCGAAATCAGAGCAAATCATCTTCTTAATCATTTTTTATGTGTATGCATAAATAAATAATACATAAATAAATATATATATTACGTGATAAAATTTCTGAATAAAAGCATGCAATTTAAACTTATTGTTAATCTAGAAGGAAACAGGGAAAAATAATTATTGAAACTTGTAAAAAAGTTTAATAATGAAATACCATACAGAATGATACAAAAAAATATTTTATTACGGAAATAATTTCTCCTCGGCGAATTAAAGATCAAATTTTAAGAAATTATTAACGCAAGGCGCATAAAAAAATAAAGCTATTTGTCAAGGAATCCATTAATATTTCAGAGCATTGAAAACGTGACTGTATTTTATGAGAAAAATAATTCTCCAATAATTTTTCTGAAGATTGAATCAATTTCAAGAAAAATCGACCCGATCTTTTTTTTTTATTTGTAAATGTCAGACACTAATGCTATTCGAGAAGTATCATATTGTCTTTTTAATTAAGTGAGCATACGATTTGTCGGCTGAAAATTGCCGATCGAAGATCGAGATTCTTTCGATTTATCAAATCATATGTTTTGAAGACGAATGATTCTTTGTTTGTTTTTTTTTTTTTTTTTTTTTTTTTTTTTTTGCTTACGCCCGAAAACGTGATCAAAGACGATTAGGAAAACTCTAGGAAATCTAAGCCACTTGACGTCGATGAGTTGACCAATCGAGTGATGACGACACGCGATCATCAGAATAAATATGCGCAATAAGCGAAAAAAATCTCAGAAATGAATTCGCGTAATTAATGATTATCAGTTCTTGCGAAATTATAGTTCGAGATTAAATTGTTAACTCGACTATTCTTGATTAAAAAGAAAAGACGAACGCAATAAAATTCGTGACTAACCACATACTGACCTATTTACAATTTTTCATCGTAAATTTTAATCATTCTACGCAATTTCAGATTCGAAAAATATCTCATTAACGAAAAAATTATCAAATTAAATCTAGATACAATTGAACCTGCCCGTTCCCAATTGCATCGACGATCTTGATTAGCCAACTTTTCATTTAAAGATTATTCGCTGGATAGTAAATCTTGATTATGTCACGAACAAAGAGAAAGAAAAGTTGATTTTTTTTTTTTTGGTCACGGTCATCGCAGTGATGACTAACCTCGATGCAATCGAGCCAAAAAACATACACGGCGAGTCGAACGGGATTAAGAGTGTAAAACGAAAAGAATCGATCGCGATGACCATTTTACTCGTGGATAACTTTGCCCAATTACCCTTGCCCTTCGAGAATCAAAAAGATGATAATGTCAATACTATCGAATCGAATGCCATGGCAGAAAGATCGACGTGGTCAACATATAAACGAACGTATTGGTATCGAACCACGTCCGCCCTTTTCAGATTGGAGATCCCGAGTGCATCGTGAACGGGGAAGGAGAAACGGTAACCGAGATCGATGCGATCGGGCCGAAAGGGACGGCGCGCAGCGAGAAGTTGGACGTGCGAAAGGCAAACAGCTGTTTGACAGATGGAAGCCCTGCGCGCTGGCTCGACTCGGCTCGGCTCGGCTCGGCTCGATTCGGCTCGTTCGCTCGCTCGCTTGCTGGCCCGGCGACCTTGACCCGCAACCTCGTCGGCGCGGTGCGGTGCGTGCATGCGTGACAACTCACCGATGCGCCACATCCTAGAGTGGGCGCCGTCGTTCTGCGCGCGGATGGCAGCGGGCGGCGCGCGCGTGACTACGTCGACAACGGCGACTTCTCGAGAACGACGATGACGATGACGATGATGACGACGGTGGCTGCGACACCGCGATACGAGATACTCGATGCGGAGTGCGACTCGCCCGCGCGGATGATGCACAAAGACGACGGCGACGTGGACAGCGAGAACGTAGCGGCGCTGCGGAGACGTGCGCCGCTATTTTCACGATGTTCGCGCGACGAAGTTGCAGAGTCACCGTAGGAGCAGCTACCGCCGTAGAAGCGGTCCTCCATTAACGACGTTCCACAGGCACGACCGCCCACACGTAATCGAGGAAGATAGAGAGAGAGAGAGAAAGCGAGAAAGAGCCAGACGAGGAAAGGAAGAGGAAGACGTCAAACGTGGATCGAAAAGTCGGAATTTAAAACACCCGCTGGTTCAGTTGTCGAACTTGACGTCTTTTGCGCGCGCGACTCTCTAGATCGTAGAAAACGAGACACGATAGAGAGTGCGATCAAACAGATAGAGAGAGAGAGAGAGAGAGAGAGAGAGAGACCGAGAGAGGAAGAAAAAAAGGAAAAGAGAACGTCGAGACAGGCGGAAAGAGAGGAGACGTGGCACGGCAGAGGATGCGCGAGACGAGGCGCGGTGCTTTGTCACGGTACATACGGCGATCGCCGGGCGAAGCGATCCGTCGACGAGGCCCCCACGAAGTGGGAAACGAAAGGGAATGGCCCGGCGATCCGCGCCGTGTCAACAGAGCGCGGCGGCGGCGACGACGAGATTGTCAAAGGCGCGCGCGAAAGACGGAGCAAGGGAGAGAGAGAGAGAGAGAGAGAGAGAGAGAGTGAGAGTGAGTGACGGAGCAGGATTGTACGTAGGAAGAGAGGGAGACGGAGTAAGAGAGAGAGACACGAACGTTCCCGCGCGTACACGTATTGCCCTATTGGCGCGTATATACGATGCGCGAGTATGCGTGCACGCGAGAGAGGAGGCCTAGAGCTCCGAGACGACAGAGAGAGAGAGAGAGAGAGGGAGAGAGCGAGCGAGCGAATGAAATCACCGATGACCGAAGTCGCGGTTGAATCGCGAGGTTGACGCGCGTCGTCCTCTGATATAAATACCTGATCCGTAGTGTGACCTCTTGGTCGCACCGTTTTCCGCGTCGCAGTCGAGCGGCCGCTTTCTGGAGTCCGCAATCTCCGGGGAGGGACACGTCTCCATTCCTGAGTCAGCGGCCATCTTGGTTCGCTCGTTGCGCGCACGTAACACACACACAGGCACAAGAACAGGCGGTAACACACACAACACAGGAGAGAAGATAGAGATATATACACACGGAACTAGAACCGCACACTCCTACCGATCAGTGGCGGGGAGGGGGAAGGGGGAGGAGGAAGGCCAGAACGGCAAAGAGAGAATGAGGAAGAGAGAGAGAGAGAGAGAGAGAAAGAGAAGGGGAGAAACGAAACGAAGCGCGCGAGCGAGACGAACGATGGGACGATGGAGATGTGGTGGAGGAGGCAACAGCAGACGATGTGTCGGGGACAAGTGTCCGTGTCCCCGAGAATGAGGTGCCAGGCGCGAAGTGGAGAGGCACGACGTTACCCGCTCTCGGACGTACGGACGCGCGGAGTACGACCACGACGGAGTTGCCGCAGAACCCACTCTCGGTCCCGTTTACCGCAGATATAACCGCGCGCGGGAGGGGTGTATTGCAACAAACCAGAGGTAGAGGAGGAGGAGGAGGAGGTG